CGGGTGGGGGGGGGGGGGGGGGAGTAAATCAGTATCAGTGACCAGGGGCTGCCTGTCTACGTCGGGCACTCAGGCCATGGTGTGAGCCTTCCTGGAGCTGAGGGTGTGGTGGCCCTGCAGACACTCCCAGATGCTGGGGCTGTAGTGGTGAACAAAGGGGTGGTGCCTACCCTCGGCAGCTCACGTGCTAGTGCACAAGTGAGTTAGTAACAGCTCACACGGTTGGCATGTTCGCTATGTGTCAGACACTGCTTGCAGGCAAACGCCGTCCTGAGTTTAACCTTCCCATCAGAAGAGGTCTGATCAGTACCCGCGTTTCACAGGGAGGGAAGTTGAGGCACAGAGAAATAACGTGTCCGAGGCCACTTAAGTAGTAGAATTGGTCTTTGAACCCAAGTACTCTGACTCCAAAGCTAGCATTCTTCATATCTATATCTATATCTGTCTGTCTATTTATCTATCTATTTTCTTTCTATATGAGACACAAATATATGAGGAGGGGGTTTGGGAGAACAGGCACCCCTACAGGGCCTTCATGCCACAATCCGCCCCTAGTCTCACCCAGTCCAGTGTGCTCAGGGAGGTTGCAGGATGTGAACCCAGCACCTTTCCTGGGTGGGTCCAATTGCATTCCCGCTACACTACCCTCTGGCCCACAAAGCTAGCATCCTTGATCACTACCCTATCCATCCTGCCTCACTACATGAGAGACTTCCAACAGTGACCCACGTAACAGGGTGATAGGACGGAGCGTGGGAGAGTGAGCTCTCCTGTTGTTTGTACTCTGGCTCCTCCAGGTAAGTTTTTCTAAGGTTTTTCTAGGCCCCCTCCTGCTGCAGATCCCCTTGAAGGTCCTGGAGTGTCCATAGGAAAACGTGCCTCTGTGTGGAGCCTCCCCGGCCCTCTCCTCCCTAGGGTCAAGCTACCAACTGGGCTGTCCCATAATTCATCAGGCTTCAGAGGAGCCCGAGAGATGAGCAAATCCCCCAGCTCTCTGCAGAAGGCCATAATGGTGGGGATGCTCTGTGGAACAGGGAGGGGGCTGGGATGAGATCATAGCAAGACCCTCCCCACTTCCTGGGATTGCTATTTATTCCCTGGGCTGGGGGCTGAAAACCACAGTCAGGCTTCAGAAGAAATCTCTGTAGGATTATAAAGTCCCCAAGCTCTGCTTCTCTGCACTCTCATGTCCACAAGATGCTTGAGCCATCTGCCCCGTGGTTCAGCTTCTCTGTCCAGACCTCAGCCTGGTGCCAAGGAAGGGGTGAGTCACAGGAGCAGGAGGGCCTGGGGCTGGAGCCCAGGACTGTCATCCTCCAGAGAGGAGGTCCTGGCCTGGCAGATCCAGGCCAGTGTTTAGGGGGCACGCTGAGACCATCTCCTGATGGGCAATGACCTCGTTTTGGCCCTAAATCCTGAGGACTCAGCACTGGCCCTGGCCTCAGCAGATTCTTTTCTCTGAACCTTGGGCTTTCCTCTGCGACCAGGCCCTGTGGTACTCAGCCCCTTCCTGATCTCTCCTCGGGCCCAGGGACAGCAGTACTTGGGGGGTGGGGGGGTCACCGGGTACAGCCTTTATTTGCCAGAGTTAATGATTCACTGGGTTGCTCCCAGGAGGCCAGAGGAAATCAGGACTCTGCCATTTCTGGGCAAGGAAGCAAAGGAAACATCCTCTCCTGCTTTGAAATCATTTCCCCCTCCCTCCCCTTTACCCCCCATGTCTGTTTCCTCCCACAGCATCAGTGACGCCACCATTTCTGTCATCAACCCTTGCCGTGCCCTGGTGCCCGCCTTGACACAATGCTGCTGTATAGATTTTAAAAATAACTTCCTAGAAGCGCTTGTGCCAAAAGTTATCAGATCTCTGTCCTCCTTTTTTTTTGTTTTGCTTTTCTGAGAGGGTAGGGAGTGAGCGCTGGCGGCAGAGGGCAGAGGCTAGGTTCGACGTGATTGAACCCCTTCCATGGGCTGCACTGTTTTGGGTGTGTGAACACAGCCACCAATGAGACTGACAAACCCCTGCCTTCATGGGCCAGACCGGACAATCCAGGGACGGGGAAGGTCAACACACAAGTCCCAATTAGTAGACGACCTACTAGCAGTAACTGCTGTCTCCTCTCCTTCCTCCGCTTCCTCTCAGCCCTCCGGAACGTCACCATCTATGTGATGGCCTCGTGCACCCACTGTCACCAGCTGGCACCTTGGGCTCTGCTGGAAACCTAGCAGGGACTCAGTCCAGACTGCTGGATGAGTAAGCAAGTGAACGTGTACACGAGTGAGTGAGCTTTGCTCTTATCTCTGTGCCACACCCTACTGCTGCTGGGGGCTACCCTGGGCGATCTGTCCTGCCGCTGCCTATGCGGAGATGGTAGAACAGGAGGAGTGGGGGCCCTAGGTTCCTTCTGCCCCTGCCAGCCCGAGGGTCAAGCTCACCTTTATAGTAGAAGAGGCAGCGGTCCACCAGGACAAACCAGCGCTTGTTCCACTGCTTGACCCCGGAGCTGGCCTGCAGGACAGTGGAGAGACAGATAAGAGTGACATTCCACAGGGCATGGAGGAGGGGGGGATGCGGGGCAGAATGCGGCACTAATTTTAAGGATACCCAGGCTCTAGCTGCAGTTCTGCTGCTAACACGTGGCAGCGACCCCCTTGGGACCTCAGCTGCCGGAAACTGACATTAGATTATTGCCTGTGACCTTCCCGCTCTGCCATTCTGGGTCTCAGTCCCTCCCTGGGGATGACATAAAGGGCAAGGGATGAGCCAGAATGAGCGTGTGGAAGGGCAGGCAGGGACAGTGGCGAGGTCAGTCTGGGGAGAGCTGGTGGCCCCCCAGACTTGAAGGGGAGTCCAGCTGGATCACAAATTTGTCACTAATTCTTCTGTGCGACCTTGAATAGATACTCAACTTCTCGAAGGGTTTATAAAATTGAGAGGCAGTCACAGAGACCATGGGGGAGGACATACCCGAAGACTACATGGCTTGTCACAAGTGCAAAGGGGTCCAATGCGACGAGGAGACATTGGGGCCACGTGAGCAGGATGCAGGGCGACCTTACCTGTTTGAAGAGCCAGCCCGCCTTGGTGACGGGTGCGTTGGGGTTCCTCTTCATGGAGTGTGAGCGCTTGCCAAAGGCGATGGCCTTGCGGGACGTTCGGGTCGCCTAGGGAGCACAGAGAAGCTGACCTAATGTCCCCCCTGGCCTTCCTCTGCTGTCTGCGGGGCAGCCATCCCTGCTAGGAGCTGTATCTCTCCAGGGTCACCCCTGGGGTGCCCTCACGCTATGAGGCACAGGTGTGGATCTTGGATCTGTTATTAACTCAAGGATGTAGCCTTTCAATTCTTTGGCTCTCTCATCTCTAAAGTGGGGCTCAAAAATAATTAAGGCTGTGTCACAGCCTTAATTATTTTTCTTGAAAAGAAAATATTTCTCGAGGCTGGCAGGTGGCATGGTGGTTAAGGCGCTAGACTCTCACATGGCTGACCATGGTTCAAGTCCCGGACCTGGTGGTTTGCTTTCTCATTTTCTCTCTCTAGTCAAATTAAAAACATAATAACTTGAGTGTATTAAGCATTCTAAGAGCAGAGATAGCTTTCTAAAATGTGTGAAGGAAAAAGAAGGAAGGAAGCCAAAGAGAAAGGTACCTGGGTCCACCTGGAGCACCAGCCTGCTCCCCGCAGAGAAGCACACTTTGTGAGAACCAATGGAAAGGAGCCTGAGCTACTGGAACCTATTCCCTATGAATTCATGGCATGATGGGTGTTAAAAATAAACTAATCTGTGGTCTATAAAAAAACAAAACAATAATAATAAAAACAAAAAAACATAATAATAAATAAAATAAATAATTATTAAAAAAAAAAGAAAAGTAAAGTATTTCTCATTTCCCTTCAGGCCCATCGCTTCCCTCTTCTTGCTGTCCACATCTTTCATAACACTTCCTGACATCCCCTCAACCGTGAGCTAATTCCCCACATCGCTGTCCTCTCGGAGGCTTTTTCATTGTCTCCTGCCCTTCAGGTATCCTTCCAGGTCCTCACTGCCATGACTGGACGTGTCGCCTTCCAGCTTCCGGCATCAATCTTTCCTGACGCACTGCAGCCTGACCTCCCGCCTTTACCCTCTGCCCACTCTCAGCTCCTCGGGCCTTACTTCGGGATCTAAGGATTTGGGATCAGCCCTCTCCTTCCTCACGTCTCATCACTGTAGAAATGTTGTTGCTCTTTTATTTATTTATTTGCTTGTTTGTTTGTTTTTCCTATAGGGCGCATGTGCTCATTGGAAAGACAGAAAGGCACAAAGAAAGAAAGCAAGAAATCACCCCCCAGGGGGAGGTCCTGCCACAATCCCTTCTCTTCCACTCTCCTCTCAGGATTTTGGGCATACGCACACATGCATCCGGCATGAGTTTCAAGCCACCAGGTCCAGCGCTCAAATCACAATTGACCACGTGGGGATTTAGTGCTTCAGCCACTATGCCACCCGCTGGCTCTTGAGGACGACCCTCCAGTGCTAGCTTTATACCTTGGGATGCCCTCAGCTTCGAGGCCCTCCACCACCACTCTGGCTCCATTCCCGGGGCCACCCAGATCTTGGACCTTAGCAGCACCCCAAACCCCTTCAGCATGAGCATCCTCAGTGCTAGCATTCCCATTTTCTAATCACAACACTCCACCCTGTGGGCCTTCTTGCTCCGTTGCTCAACGACACCCACTTTTCTACACTGAGATCCCCAAATGCTTCAATCCTGGATGCTCTCGCCTCCCAAACACCACCGTTGTCATCTGTCCTCATCCCTTTTTGCTACTCATTCTCCATGATGAATTAAGGTTGTTTCCCTGAAACACACACAGTATTATCCTGTCACTTTCTTGCTTAACATTTCTTACTGGCCGCCATCACTCAGGGTGAGTTCGGTTTCTCGGCACGGCACGGCACGGCACGGCACACAAGAAAGGGTCTGTCAGACCTGGTGCTATGCCCTTCACCCCTTTACCGGACAGGGTCTGTCAGATCCGGCGCCATGCCCCTCCACCCCTTTACCTTCACACTGCCAAGCTGGAGGATCTCCTACAAGGTTCTGGCCCAAGCCCTCTCCCCTTCCCATTCTCCACTCTCTTCCTGAGTCCCCTGCTCTCTGGAGCCTGCAGAAATAGACAAGCTGACTAGGATTTCCCAGGATTCCCCAAGATCCCAGTAAACAGGCCCTGCAGACACTCCTGCATGACAGCTCGTCCTGAGAGTTGGACTCACCCGGATGCTGGGCCGCTCTGGAGGGACCTCGGACACCATGCTGTGGTTGGGTATGTCACTGTTGGTGGTAGCCGGGCGTTTCCCACCTGTTTTATTGGACATGTCCAAGGCTGATCTGATTTCAAGTTGATGGAAAGGAAGAGACTAGTCAGGGCCAAGAAAGAGCAGAAACTGTCCCTGTCCCCACCCTGTCACCCTCTGTTCCAGCACTGGCACAAAGCCAGGTCTCCTAAATACCATCAAGAGGTCCTCTTGGCTCTTCCTTCAGCCCTTCTGAGACAATAGGCCAGCAATCCTGGACATTCTCCTCTTTCTTTCCTCTGCATTCAAAAATCCTAGACCCTCCAGAACGCTTTTCCCTTCTAATTTCAAGTGAGAGCTGATTACTTATCCTCCCCCACACCTCCGCCTTTCATTTGGTGAGCCAGGGTTCACAGTGGATGGATTAGCATTCAGCATTCAGAAGTCTGTCAGATTCCCTGGGTGCTGCCCTCACAGGTCCCTAGTGGCATGCCAACCACACACAGGGCTGTCTTCATCCTCTAGCTCACCCTGCAGGTATAACCTGACCACTGCTAGATCCCGGGAAAAGCGGATGAGGGTCTCAAGGCAGCCCGGCCTCAGAAATGTCTGGTGCTCAGAGTGAGGTGGGTGACCCCAAAGCCCTTCTCCTCTCCTTTCCTCCCTACTAAGCGTGGTGGCAAGGTGACAGTGGACAGTGGTGGGAAACCCATGAGTAAGTAAAGGCAAACCTACGTTTTCAAGTCGAATTTCTTGTTTTCCTCTGGGACCTGGCCGGTCACTGGGTGTAGAAATGTATTCCGTCTTTCATTGTGGCTGCGGAGAAAGCAAGAGTGCGGAGTTGTAGTAAAGATGACAAAGTCAGCGACAGAACCAAGGGGAGGACTCTGGGCAGTGACAGGAATGGGTGATATGAACACGGGACCAGTGGGAGGCAAGATGGAGGGAGGGCTGCTGGGAAGAAGCTGCATTTGGGAAAGGGTTGGGGGTGAGGGGTGGGAGAGGAAGAACCGAAGCCTGGTTCCCTTCACTGGGCAGTGTTAACTACTTACTAGAGATCCCTGAGGCTAGAAACACGCCACACTTAGCTCTCAGTGGTCATCCTAGCTGTGGGCTGGCAGGTCAAGGGTAGGGGGGACTCTCCCGGGGAGACAGCCTGCCAGCACTCCTCATGGAGACGCTCCCTCGTTATTTGCTGAAATAACTCTCTCGTGACCTTGGACTCCTCCTTCTCCTGCCTCTTTTTCTTAAAAGGAAATGGGAGGCTCAGAAACTCCATTCTCGAGCTTGGACTGGGGCCACTCACACCCTGAGCCCAGGGTCTGTGTCTAAGAGCTGCTCCATGTCTAAGGGCTGCGCCGTGTCGCTGACACCTTGGGAGTGTTGGTACCAAGGTCAGCGCTGGCTTCCCAGTCCTCTCTCGTTAGGGATCTGTGGCCATTAGGGATCTGTGGCCAGGGCAGGACAGGGGGACGTGAGGACAGCCTGCCAGGAGGCCGAGGGGAGCAGGAACCGGGGCGGGGGGGGGGCACAGGCAGAGCAGAGGGGACCTGTGGTGGAGGTCTCTTTGGGAAGTCCGGCTGTGGACTCTCGGGGACAATGGGAGAATGGCAGCAGATGAGCCTGGAGGGGGCCTGGGGCAGTGGGACTGAGCCTTAGACAGCAGCCACCCGAGAGGGCTCCGTAGGTGGGGACCAGTCGGCTAGGACGGGGCAGAGCTGCGAACACCCGGCTGGTGAGGGCTGCCTGAGTTCAAGGTCCCCTTCAGTACCCGCCCTGGGAAACCCTGTGAGAACCCAGAGGAGGCTCCTCTCCTGAGTCGCAGGCACAGGGATGGCAACTGCCGAGGCTGGGCCCCTTAAGCACACCCCCAGCCTGCAGGGAGCATGGGGCCGGTGCCCTGCTTGGCCAGCTGGTCAGTGCCAGAGGAAAGGGCGTGGTCCTTCAACCTTTTGAGGACCCCCTTTCAATAGCCCACACACATCCCAGCCCTTGGGCTGTCTGCTGAAACTAAAGATAATATCAAAGAGAGTTTTTTTCAGCTTCCAAACCAGTTCTGTTTAGATCTAATCCAGAGACAGGCAGGAGACAGAGCCGACAGGCAGTGGCCGCAGGGTCAGTGCCAGAGGAAAGGGCGTGGTCCTTCAACCTTTTGAGGACCCCCTTTCAATAGCCCACACACATCCCAGCCCTTGGGCTGTCTGCTGAAACTAAAGATAATATCAAAGAGAGTTTTTTTCAGCTTCCAAACCAGTTCTGTTTAGATCTAATCCAGAGACAGGCAGGAGACAGAGCCGACAGGCAGTGGCCGCAGCCTGGGCTTTCTAGCCAGGACCGAAAACCTGGCCAGTGGCCACCAGGCCTGAACTCTCGTTCCAGACCCGTCTGCCACTCCCCAGACTTTACTGCCACCTCCCTCCCAGGTCCAGCAAGGCTGCTCCCCTCCACTGAATGCCAGGGAATCTTAGTCAGATGGCGTAGCTGTTTCCAGTAACCCTTGTCCTTGGCCCTGCCCCTTCAAGGCTGGGGAGCAGACAGTCTGTGACAACTAAGGTCCTTGAGGTGCCGAGTTCTCTGCTTTTTCCCTGCGGTGCAGGGCACCTGCCCCTCCTCCCCCATCCTGCTCCCGTTCCTTCTGCTCGGCACGGAACCTCCCCTGCAGGCACTGGTACACGTGCGCGCGCACACACACACAGGAGCACGCGCACAGTCGCTGTCAGCGGCCACAAGTCTTTCAGGGCATGGCAAAGCTCTCCTGCCCCAGGCTCTCCTACCCAGCAACCCCTACCCATGACGCGCTCCCTCCATCCCGGCGCTACCAATTTCAAAACAGCCTCCCCTCCAGGAGCACTGCAATGCAGCAGCGCTGACCCAGCTGCGGTTGCTCCACCAGGTCATCTCGAGCAGACCCCTCGCTCCAGAGCCCCTAGATCCAACCACGACGAGCTGCCCGCTCAGCCGGCTCCAGCTCACTCGGCTCACCGTGGGACCATGGAAGAAATCCCTACCTGACGCGTCGATCAGCCCGAAACTTCAACATCTTTTTGGCAGCTCTGCCCCCAGTTCGGCAGCCTCACAGGACCCGCTAGCCTCCCTGCTCCTACCATCCCTCTGCGAAGTAAGTCCTGTGATCCAACTCATAAGGCTGTGGCCAAGACGCAGGGTGACCGGGGCAGACTGCCGGGTTCCCCTCCTCTTGGTTCAGGCACTGGAGCAGAGGGCAGGGGCTCTCCCTGGGTGGTGGTAGGGGTCACCCAGGGCCCAAGTGGGCCTGCGGCGTCCTAGTATTCAGCCAGATTGCTACCGGTCAGAGTGCTGGAGGCAGAAGAAACCAGGAAGGGATGCTATCCTTCCAGTCCAGCTCCCCAAGGAGAAAATGCTGAAATGGAAAGACGGGCGAACACGGAGCAGGTGTAGCACTTCCAGGTAGTCCGACCTCTTTAAGCTAAGGACACAGAGTAGCTGGGCGGGCGGAGGAGTCTGGGGCTGCGTTCCCATCTGCACGGCAGAAACTCATGCCAGCCCAACCTGCAGGGAGACGGTCGTCCTGCCTCTCCAACTCCCAACCTGGAACACAGGCTCTGAGCTGAAAAGCAACCTGCTTCTCAGATCCCCTTCAGATCCTGCGGGCATAAGGGTTAAACGAAGCTACAGACTCATTCGCTGTTATTGCTGCCGCTGCTGAGAAGCAGAGATGGATGAAGTCTCCTCTCTCCTCTCTGCCTCCCCAGCCTTCTTCGGTCTGGACGGGAGCATAATGAATTTGGTGTCTCTGCACCCATCCCCCGCCCCCGCCCCCGCCCTGCTCCCCTCAGGTGCAGCCCCAGAGTGCTTGCCCTCTGCTCATGGTGGTCCAGCGGCTGAGGGGCAGTCCAGCAGAGGGGCGTGGATGCTGTGCACCCTGAACTGGCAACAACGGTCAGGCTTCTCTGCTCAGAAGAAATTGACGGAGAGCTTCCTCTCAAGGCTTGTGAAGACAAGGGCAGCAAATGGGGCTTGCGAGGGGGTCACCATGTGTTTATTGTTGAAAATCTTCCCAGACGCAAGATGATAAATTCCAGCTGGGGACTGTCAGATCTGCTCAGGAGCATGGAGGATTGTTTGCACCGATGTTAATTCCCCTGCATTCTCCAGAGGCCAAAGATGGTCAAATCGCCCCTTGCCCTAACGTCCCCCATATCTTAGGATCCTTAAAGTGCTGGGCTTTCTGAAGGTCACCTCTCCCACTCCCCTGTCTCCAAGCAAGCCCGCTCTCCAGTCAATTCTCCTTAAGTGTCTTGGTTGTTTGGAAAGGGTTCTAGCCACGGAGGCTCCAGACCCACTACTGTCTCATCCCACGGAGACGTCCGCGCTGGTGCACGTCTCAGTTCCTCTGGGCTTCCGACTGATTTATTATTCCACGCTGTCTTCACATGACAGATGCCTTTTTAGCAGCACCAGCCATTCTGCTGACATCATAGTCTATTGTTATGGCAATTCTGTGATGTCACGACAGACAGGAAGGGAGAGACTAATCGAATTTGTTGGGTTGAGGACAGAATTTGGTCAGGAAACTATGCACTTGGTGGACGGAAAAGCAAACAGACCACATTATTATTTAACCCATGAGGAGACCAGCTGGTCGGAGGTCACTGGCGTCAACAGCTGCTGCTATTTAAACAGCTAATCTTAAATCCAAAAGGTCAGTATATTCGGCCATTTAGTGGGACAGTGGGACATTTGCAAATGATCTATCCTCGTGACAGGAGGCCTCCGTTTTCTGATCCCGCCCTCTCCCTAGTCCTACTGTGGTTATGAAGGCTGGACCTCTCCTGAGGCCCACTGAGGTCCCTGCCCGTGCACTGTAAGTACTCAGTAAAGGCTTGTTGAATGAGTAAGTGAACGAAGAAGAAAAGCAACTCTCCCAGCTCCGATGTAATTTTTAGCCACCTGCATTTGGAGTTTGACATTCTATTACCAAGGGCTTCCCTTTCTTAGCTTGCTCTTAAAATTAATTACTTCCTCTCCAAGAGAGAAACTCTGTTTCTGCCTGTCGCCCCCTCACTCGGCTTCCCTGCCTGGCTCCCCCCTGCATATACAGCTCGGCTTTGATCCATCTTCATTAGGAGGGGAAGAAAATTAAGCTCCTCTGCACAGGAGGAGGAGGAGGGGTGCTGCACTGGGGAAATGAGTTTTCTTCCTCTAGAAGGCAAAAATATCCCCTCCCTCTTCAAGCTGAGCTCTGGGGCCTCCCACAGGCTTTGCTTCAGTTGCAAGTTAAATGACTTCTCCCCTGGCTCAGGGAAGAGAGAAGAGAGCAGAGCAGGAAGGAGGGGAGGACCCAGGGCTCAAGGCTTTTCTCCTGCTCAGAGAGAGCTCAGAGATCCTCATGCAGCGATGCAGGGACCGCTGCCCGATCTACCTGTAAATGAGGTCCCACTGCTGTCTCAACAGCGTGCCACGCTGGGCTTCTTTCCCTTCACCACCGACCGGCACAGAACGACAGGTTTTCATGTGAGGTTAGCCATCAAGAACGTCCCAGGTGAAGGGCAGTAGAAACGGAACACGCATAGATCATCAGTTTTCTCCTCTTCCCTTCCATTTAAAAGGCTTCCATTTTTCAAGGACAAATAGTTACAAATGCATATCCAAATGGAGCTCTCAAATTCTACCCGAGGAAAGGAAGACTCAAGCAGGAAAGGATATTTTGTGGTAGAGGTTGGAATATCCCCAAACCCTGGGGTTGCCCGGCAGGTAGTCCCTTATCCACTATACCTATGAGGGTGGTCCCAGTGACAGGGCCCTGGGTGGCACTGACCAGGCTTTCAGTCCAAAGCCCAGCAGGGACACTTTCAGCAGTGTGACTTTCCTCAGTGACCCTTAGCTGTCTTGTGTGCAAAGGAGGGCCCTTCTAATTCTACGAAATAATAGTCGGAAACTTTGAAAATGCCAAGTGTTTTTTTGGTAAGAGATAATGGAGACTATAATCATTCTGCTTAAAAACAAATGAAGGACATGCCAGATGCGGTAGCTAGAAAATGAAAAACCCAGAGTCCTGGCTTATGAAGGTGTGTTTGAGGGGTGGGCTTGAGGGGGTGTCAGAACAGGCACTCCAGAAGTGCCGAGACTGGTAAGCTACAGAGAAAAGAGGCAGCCCCTCCCCACTTCCACGCCTTTGCCTTTTCACCTAGCTGGGACCGTTCTGTAGTTTCAGAGCCGTCCTGAACCCTGAAGTCCTAGGGACTTCCCAGTGATCGAGATCACCGGGCAGACTGAGCTCCAAGCCTTCTCCGGGAGAATCAGCATCCATGTGGAGTGTACTTGGCATGACACAGGCAAAAGCAGCAAAATCACCCCAAATCTGCATGATCCTCTGCAGGCATGCACGTTGGCATGTGCACACACACGCACACACACCCAGCCCCAGGCTGCACGCCCAGAGCTCCCACTGCGATAAATATTGAACAACTAGCGAGACACAGTGCATTCCTCCCACCCTATGGCCCCTCTTGGTTATCTACTGTACTCCAAGCTGCTTCATTTCCATAGCTCCTGAGAATCTGCTGACAGAGAATAAGCCCTGGCCGGCTCCTCTTCTAAAGATGCCTTGGCTTCGGGCACCGCAGCTCATTAGGTGGAGAGAGGACTGTGAGGTGAGTGGGAGGGGGCTGGCGTGCCCCATCCCTCCCACTTCCTTCTTTCTCCCAGCTAGCAAATTCCAAGACTGTCCACACTTTGGGGAGGATTTCTGCTGCCGCAGGGGAGGGGAAGGTGGAGAGAAGTTCAGCTCGGCTCGTTCTCCGCCTTCCACTCTGGGTCTCATCATTATGTTCAAGCAGCCTTATCTGCTCCAGCACTCTGCCCCAATTAAAACCAACTCGCTTTACAGTTCCAACATCCTGACATGCCTGACTTCGGAGATGCCCCAGCCATTTCTAACAGAAAATGGACTTTCCTACCAGGCTCTCCCCGCCAAGACATGGCTTTTCCTACCCGCTGCTGCCACGGAGACGAGGCCAGAGGCCAGGCCCTGGAAGCCCCTCTAGGTGCGTGGGTGGGAAGAAGGCCCTGAACAGCGCTACCTCTCCTGCTGCTACCTGCAGACCGAGCACCAGCTCTGCGGGTGTTGGGGAGTTCTGGTGTCTCCCACTCAGCCCCTGTGACTCTCTCCTCTGTCCTTGCGCCCCCCCCTTTTTTTTTTAGAGATTTTTGCTATAGGGTGCATGCACCCTAGAGAGAGACAGAAAGTAATAAATCACCCTCCCCCCCCCCAGGGGAATGGCCATGCCACAATCCCTTCTCCTCCATTCTCCTCTCGGGATTTTTTTTTGTTGTTGTTGAGAAAGGTTATAGGGCGCGTGCGCTCGCCAGAAGACAGAGAGACAGAGAGGGAGAAATCACCCCCCAGGGGGGATGGCCACACCACAATCCCTTCTCCTCCAGTCTCCTCTCGGGATCTTGGGCACACATGCACATGAGCCTGGCATGAGTTTAAGCTGATGGGTCCAGGACTCGAACCGCCGTCAACTACATGGTAGTCCAGCGACATAGCTATTACGCTAACTGCTGGTCCCTCTCCTCTCGGGATTTTGGGCACACACACAGCATGAGTTTTTAAGTTGCCAGGTCTGGGACGCGAACAGCAGTTGACCACATGGGAGTCCAGCGCCTTAACCACTACACCACCTGCTACCTCCTCGCACGCCCCCTCCACCTCCCATTTTGATGTCACAGTTATTTCCAAAAGGACAAGAACAGGGTGCCTCCCCGGGCAGATTTGGAACATCCTGACACACTAGGGTACTGGACTGAGTGTCCAGAAGACAAAACCCAAGCTGCTGCTCTGACGCTTCTCTCTGCCCACCCTCATGGCCTCCAGGCTACACACCTTCTCTGCTGTGGCCATCGTGGGGGGCTGGGGAATCCCACCCAAGCTCAGACTTCACCTCCAACAAACAGAAGAGGAGGCTCAGTGGACAAGGGAAGGCAATGACAAATCCGGGCCAGGGCCAGCGTCCTCCCTCCAGCCTGTATAGTGGGCCTTCCTGTCTCCCGGTGCACTCCCTGGTCCCTGATGGGCCTGGAAGGGCTCCTCTGTCTATGAAAGGACGTAGGGAAGCCCAAGGCGACAGGGGAGGGGAGGGGACACCGTGGGGGGAGAAGGGCTCATGCTCGAATGAGTAAGAGTGAGTGTGTGTGTGTGTGTGTGTGTGTGTAAGGGCTGGTGGCTATCATGCAGGGAAACCTCATGCTGAACTTCTATCCAGCTTGGATTATCTTCTCTGTAACACACCTTCTCTGCTGTGGCCATCGTGGGGGGCTGGGGAATCCCACCCAAGCTCAGACTTCACCTCCAACAAACAGAAGAGGAGGCTCAGTGGACAAGGGAAGGCAATGACAAATCCGGGCCAGGGCCAGCGTCCTCCCTCCAGCCTGTATAGTGGGCCTTCCTGTCTCCCGGTGCACTCCCTGGTCCCTGATGGGCCTGGAAGGGCTCCTCTGTCTATGAAAGGACGTAGGGAAGCCCAAGGCGACAGGGGAGGGGAGGGGGCACCGTGGGGGGAGAAGGGCTCATGCTCGAATGAGTAAGAGTGAGTGTGTGTGTGTGTGTGTGTGTAAGGGCTGGTGGCTATCATGCAGGGAAACCTCATGCTGAACTTCTATCCAGCTTGGATTATCTTCTCTGTAAACTGGTTCTTTTTCTTTATTAAATTCCATTTGTCTTCTGACAAATGAAGGTAACCAGGGTGGACCATCAGCAGACCCAGCCCTGAGATGAAAACTCTGACGTCTCCCATGTTAGCCAGTGAGGGGCTACACTGTTCAGCTTCTTGTGCCCTTGCCCCACCCCTCTGGCCACTTCCCGGGGCCTCCCCACCTCCCGGTGACCCGGGGACTAAGGAGGTAATGCCTGGCACCACAGGGCTCTCCGGGACTCCAGGCCATCATCCTCCGTGATACATGATTGACTGTCCTTCCCAGGGCCACGGTTGAGGACTGCGAGCCTACCACCCAGAGGCTGTCATGCGCAGGAGTGGAGGCCCTGTCCCCTTTCGCCCTGACCCAGCCGGGGACTTCTTGTGCAGCTGGTGCTCGTTTTGTCCTCCGCGGAGGGGAAAGGCAAGGAGCACAGCCTGTAGTTCCAGCTCCAGGTTTGCCTCATCCCAAGCGGAGTGGCTGTTGGAGGGCGCACTGGGCTCCAGCCTCCTCCCTCGCCTGGCTCCCAGTTGCCTCCTCCTGACAGTCAGCCTGAAGGGGTCCCAGGGGTAACAGGGC